AATTTTTAAGTGTCTTTTTAAAGAAAATTCACCTCTTTAAGAGAATGAATCTCCCCACCACTTTTCTCTCTTCTTCATGAGGATATTACAGAGCAAGCCAGCAGCTCAGTAATTATAATTATTTACTAATTGCTTCTGAAATGACTATCTCCACACACCTCCAAGGCACCAGGGTAATCCCATAAAAACCGGTGTCAAATCACTCGGTGTCCAACAGACACGCTTGTCACAGCCGACTGGGTAGACCAGATGTTCTGGCATCATGGTGCCTGAACCTTCAAGCATTTTTTTTCTTTTGAGAGCTCCCTGACTCGGGTAGTGACATGGTACAAGAGGAAACAGCCTCGGGCTTTGGATGCTTTCTTTTTCCTTTCATACTTCTTTAACTGAATATATATTCTTTAATTCCAGTCTTCAGTGAAGAATATTTTTTTTTTGAGGGGGAGAGTCACGACCTTCTGAACATACACTGTATTCCCACACAGGTCAGAATAGCTTCCTGTTTCTCAGTACTTCCCTCAACAGGGCTTACAATGAGCCCTCACCCCACCTTAGATGGTAAGATGGGATTTTCTTCCTGTCTTAGCCACACCTATCTTCACCTCTTGTCAGGAGTTAACAAATGATAGATGGAGTAAAAAACCTGACACTTGGTTAGCCTGGCAACACACTGCATCTTTGTTCAAGTTCCTTCTCTCCTGGCAGTCCTCACCTGAAGAATGTGAGGAAGCTGTCTGAGGTCTCGGGCACTGCCACCGCTACAGGATGGAACTGGGACCCCGCAGGCAGAGACGGTGCATGAAAGACTGACAAGGTGGAAGGAATGTGAAAGGCAGGACACCAGAGAGAAAAGGGAATAAAATTCCCAAATGCCCAAATGCCTTTCTGCTCCGTGGACAGAAAGGCAACTCTGTGGTTAGAACACAAGGCTCCATTGACTTCTGTGGTGATGATGAACAGAAAGACTTCTCTCTGTGATGGACTGGGTCTAACTACAGGCATAACAAGTTGTCACATTTGCTGAATGCAAAGTAAGCATCAACATATGCCTGCTTAACCTCTGTTCTCAGCTTCCCTCCATATCAATATGGGATAACAACGGTACCTGCCTCATGGGATTCACCTGGGAATGAAATGACTTAATATGATAAAGCACTTAGAAAAGCTCCTAGTAAGTGCTCAGTGCTAGCTATTATTACTAGAGTTGGCAAAATCTGAAAAATTACATTAGTGTCCATAAGATTAAGGCCCCACCCGCCAAGAGGGGTCCCTTCTGTAGGTAGCTGTAGCAGATGCATTGGTTGCCTTCCCAAATCCATTCACCTCTACTCACTTCTCTCCTTTACTTTTTCTTTTACTCTGAGATGGAGTCTCGCTCTGTCACCCAGGCTGGAGTACAGTGGCACGATCTCAGCTCACTGCAACCTCTGCCTTCCGGATTCAAGTGATCCTCCTGCCTCAGCCTCCCAAGTAGCTGGGACTACTGGCGTGCACCACCATGCCTAGTTAATTTTTGTATTTTTAGTAGAGACAACATTTCACCATGTTGACCAGGCTGGTCTTGAACTCCTGACCTCAGGTGATCTGCCCGCTTTGGCCTCCCAAAGTGCTGAGATTACAGGCGTGTGCCACCGTGCCTGGCTGCCCACTTCTCCTTTCTAACAAAACCCTCTATTTTCCATTTTGTTCAGACATCCGCCCTCCCTCCTTGGGTGGCCATGTGCTTCATAGGAGGGAACCCAGTGGCCACACCAGGTGGTGATCAAGGTTGCTCCTGGCTGCTAGCAGGAACCAATTCCCTTGCCCATGATTGCTTTAGGAGTGGGGCATAATTCCAGGCTGTGGGACACAGGGAGGGACTTTCTCTTATTTTTACAGTCATATTAGAAAAAAGGCCCATTGAAAAACAATTGACATCAAAATATCTGCCTGAAGTGGTGGCAACCTCCTGGTGACCAGAAAGAGAGGTAGGTAGGTTAGTCAACCCTAGCCTCCACTCCCTCCTGACTTCTTGGGTGACATAAGAAGCTCCTTATTTTCTAAGATAGTTAAGTTGGAGCCTTCGGTTTCTCATAAGGGAAAAAACCAAACATCTCTGTGGCCAAGGAGCTGCCACCTGGTGGCAGATAAAGATGGCCACAGCAAGGGTTTTAGTGGTGTTCGGCAAGGAGAACAAGCGTCACCCATCAGTGGGGGAAGGGACTCACATTTACTGAATATCTGCGTATGCAGGGGCTTTGCTTACATTCATTCTTGTCAGTACCCTGAAAGGTAGGTTTTGTTGTCTCCACTTTAGAGATGAGGAAACTCAGAACAAATGAGAAACCATCCAAGGCACCCCACCACCAGCAGCAGCAGAGGCAGCATTTCAGCCCAGGAGTACCTGATTCTCCACAAATCCCTCTGGCTCCTAGGAGACTCTGAAGACAAAGAAGCTGAAGACCAGAGGACTCAAGAGCCAGTCCAGGAGATGCTCAGGCAAGGACACAGCGGGGGCCACATGAATGCAGAGGATCATGGTTGTGGCCAAAATGAAAAGCAAGGGCCAGGAGAGTGACAGCAAGTGAGGAACGCACCAGGACTTAGCGTGGTTGTTGAGTGGAACCTGAGTGCAGATTAAACCAGAGCCAGGACCAGGTGGATCCTGAAGAGGACACGATGAGAACCACCCTGGGCTTACAGAGCCTCCTCCACCAAACAGAGCGCCTCTTCCCATGAAGCCATGGGGCACAGTCACCAAAGACGGAGAGACGAGACCCAGAGATCATCCAATCTGGCCTTCTCCCTTGGCTTAGAGAGACAATGACGTTCAGAGAGCCAAAGGGTTCAACGGGATAATGAGCGTGAATGTGAGCATCTGTTGGAGGGTCTGAGGGCCCGTGAAGAGAGATGCTCACAAACCAGCCATTAGACCAAGCTCACTGCAGAAGAAAACAATTAGGTTTTGTTTTCCCACTGCTGATTATTTGCTGTTGTAGGAAGGTTTGGGGTTCCCACTGCTAATTATTTGCTGTTGTAGGAAGGCCAGTCCGCACATGGATCAGCAGAGCCGGGCTCCAAAAATTCAGAGACATCTGCATGCATTCTTGGCTCCAGTAAGCCACGTGGACTCATATTTAAAATAAAATAATTAGCATTCTTTCATTCCCAAACTGTAACCATCACCCAGCAATGACATGTGTATGAAGAGAGGCTTACTTAGATCATTCCTAAGTCTTCCTCTCAGTCTCCAACATTAGTGTGTGACCTTTAGAAGGGTCAGAGTCTTCATTAGAAGCATGCTACTGCACCCAGCACACAGTTGAGGGGTGTACTGATTTGTTCTCTTTATTTGGAGGTGGAGGGGCTGGAAAGGAATGAGATTCATTTGTGTTCCTACCTGTACTTCAAAGGAAGCTGTAGGGATAAGCATAATAGTAGCAGCTGGCATTTATTAAGTGTTGCAGGTGCTTTATTCTGGATCTCTTTAAGCCACACAGCAGCACGTCAAGGTGGTGGCTGTTATCCCCACTGACAGGTGAAGAAACTCAGCGATGAGGGCTTGCCTGAGACCACGTGGCTGGTGAACGGCAGAGCCCCAGGATGGAAACTCAGGTCTGCCCGGGCCCTGGGGTTAGTCTCCTCCAACCTCCCCTGCCTGCTCAGGGTTGGGGTCGTAGGTAGAATTTGGGTTACAGTCTGTGCTGGCTGGAACACACGGCAGAAAAAACCCTCCAGTACTCTGGTACTAAGCGTTACCTTTTCTCTTCACCTGTTTGTTCTCATGAGCAATTGCATGAAAACTACCCGGGTTTCCACTCTCAGCAGGGTGTTCCACGGGGAGGAGGATGGGATAAAAATTAACTGAAAGGATGGACAGCGATGGAGTTCCATTTGAGATTTGCTCACCACAGCCTTATTTTGGGCCATTTACAACCCTGGCCTTTGTCTGCATCTCCACACTCAAGGTCATGTTGCATTATTGATCCTTAACAATGTTTCTGCTGCTGTAATAATTGTCATAAACAGTGGACTTTTTCAGAAGCATATCATGATGAACACAGTTTAAAGAGAGAAAAGACATATACTATCCCTAAGTAATATCAATTGCACGACAAATTTCTTGCAGAATAACAAATGGGTCACAGCAAAAGCAGCAGACCTGGGTTCCTACTAATATCAACTATAGTGAAACAGGTTTTTAGAAACACATAATGCTAAGAAACTATCATATTGAGATGAATTTTCTGGTGTTAATGGTATCAGACAGGGAAATTGAGACAAACATTTTGTGCATCTCTGGCTATTTTTGAGTATGAAATATATGAGTCTCACAAGAGTGCAAAAAAGAAAGGAAATTTGTCACATTTCAAACCAACATATTGAATCAAATAAATTAAACCATGATTCTCAAACTGCTCATGCAACTGACAGGCCCAAATGCATTTTAAAAAGGAGTCTGATTCCAGCCCCTGAATGACATTATCATCTCCTCCCCTCCTTAGCTGTGTGCTGTGAGATCTAACCACAATCAGCAAATAGGAATGATGCTATATGCTCTTTTTCTAAACACATAGTAGCTTTCATGGCTAAATTACTCAATACTTAAGTATATATCACTTTGAGTTTGACTGGTTATTTTTACTATGCAGCTCTTGATTGGCATTGACTGCTGCAAAGCAGCCGTTTTCCCTTTCTAAAGAAAAACCTGCTCAGTCTTAGACAAAGACAGAAAAGGCAGCCCTACTAATAATGATCTAAAGTTAATACAAAAGCAATTAATATTCCAGGACTTCTGCTGGTGTCACTCATCAAAAGAGATGCCATCCAAGACAGCCAAAGTAGTCGGAACGCAAGCTTTCGCCCTGGCTTGTTATCAGAAGATCTATTTAGTCGGACAATGTTGATATGAGAACTCGGATGATGAGGTGTGGCTCATTTTCTACCATCTACCTCTGCTAACAATTACTGCTGACGATGGGCGGGGTGGGGGGAAATCGTGCCTTTAAAATCTCTATTACCTTTTCTCCCACTTGGATTTCAAGTTCTCTTAACGTGCGGCAGCAATTCATTTCATTCCCACCTTCCCTTAGAAACAAAAAAAAAAACTTTATTAAAACATTTTAACCAAATAAGTGTTTACATAGGATACGCAGAGATCAAAATTACAAGGATTTCCAAATAATCTATTTTAAAATGCAAGGTATTTCTTACAAGCTGCTGTCTGCCAGGATCATGAACTTGGGCAAATTACTTTGTTTCCCCCAGCCTGTTTTCTTATCCGTACAATGAAATACAGTAGCATTTACTCCTCCTAAGGTACGTGCAAATTAAATAATTACAGCTGACACTTAATGAGCACTTACTGTGTCCCAAGCCTTAACAAGCCTCATCTCATTTAAGCCTCTCAACAGCTCTATGGATTTGGGACCATTATCATCCCTGCTTTACGGAGGAGACTGACAGGGATCGTAATAGATGAGGAAAATGAAGGTCACATGTGAGGAAGTGCAGGCGCCAGTGTCAGACCCAGGTGCTCTGGGTTCACATCCAGTTCCTAACCTCTCTGCTGTGGCTGCAGCACTTTGATCTGACCACTGTGGGGCTCTACGTCCCCTCAATAGCTCACTTTCAGCTGCTCAGTGAAGGTTCAATGTGTCTGTACCTGGGTTCCATCTGCTTGTCCCTATTCACTGGTTTTTATTTTGCATTATCTGTGTATCTACAAACCACTGCAGAGCCCCTCCTTGGGACAAACTGGTAGGGTGAGGGTGGGAAGAGAACACGAGGAGGCAGAGCTGGTGACCCCACTTTACAATGTCTATCCATGCCTCCTACCTGCCAGGTCTGGGGCCGTGGTGCTAAGCAAGACACCGTCTGTACTGGTGACAGTGACGGATGGGAAATAAGCAAACAAGTAATGTGAGTTGAAATAATAACAGGTGCCATGAAGACAATAAAGATGGGCAGGGAGATAAATTGGAGATGGGGGAAGATGGGATGACTCTTTGGATGGAGTGGGTAGCAGGTCTCTCTGGCCAAGTGTCTTTTGGATAGAGGCCCACAAGGTGAAAGGGCCATGAAGCCTTCTAGGCAAAGCAAAGGGAACAAGCAGCTGGCATGAAGCCCTTGACTGGCAGGAGCTCAGCAGATCCCAGGGTCAGTAGGAAGGAGGCCAAGGAGACCAAAGCTGGATGGGCAATGAGAAGGTGTGCAGGCTATGTTCAGATAGAGGCAGATGCCAGGCTCATGAGTTTGTGGGCCATGATAAGGAGTCTAGACTTCAAAGGGTAAGGGGAAGACACTGGAGTGCTTAGCAGAGATTAAATTCCTTACATAGGAGGAAACTGAGTCTCAGAGGGGTTCTGTTCCCAAGTTAAAGATAGGACCCGATCAGGAATTCAAATCTATAATGCTACGTTAAATGTAATCTTTTAAATGCTGTTTAATAATATATTCAATAGATACAAAACACTATTTGTAAAATATTTAGGAATTAAAGAATAAACCGGGCGTGGTGGCTCACGCCTGTAATCCCAGCATTTTGGGAGACTGAGACGGGCAGATTACCTGAGGTCGGGAGTTGGAGACCAGCCTGACCAACATGGAGCAACCCCATCTCTACTAAAAATACAGAATTAGCCGGGCGTGGTGGGGCATGCCTGTAATCCCAACTACTCAGGAGGCTGAGGCAGGAGCATCACTTGAACCCGGGAGGCAGAGGTTGCAGTGAGCCAAGATCACACCATTGCACTCCAGCCTGGGTGACAACTGCGAAACTCCATCTCAAACAAACAAAAAAAAAGGAATTAAAGAATAAAAATTAAACAAATGCTTGTTTACTCAACCCCAACCTCCATCCAACTGAAGCAATGCAACACTACCAGTGCCTTGGAAGTCCAGGAAGCCCTCCCTTCCCAATCACATCCTCCTGCCTAGTTCTAGCCAAGTTGGTCAAGGCTTTGTCAGGTCCGCACTGCAGTTCAGCCTCTCCCTCTAATCAATCCTGCTTCAGCCTGCTTCCCTTTACAGGTGTTTTCCCTCGTCTACATCTTGCTCCCCAAACTCCATCTCAGTGTCTGCTTCAGGAGAAGCCAGCCTATGACTATTTATTGTCAGGTACTAACTTAGTGACACCAGCTTTCTTTAGATTAATATTGAATGGTATGTCTTTTTAAATCTTTTCACTTTTAACCTTTCTTTATGTTTGGGTTTAGGTTTTTCTCTTAGTGGATTTTACTATTTGTTATCTAGACAGACAATCTTTGTCTTTTAAGTGGTCTACATGATAATTGAATGTGTAAGTCTTAAAATTTATTTTGCCAGAAATTAATGTAGTTACACTTTCTTTTATTTTTTCTATTGCATACTTATTTCTATCCTTTTTCTTTTAGTCTTTTTAATCCTTTCTGTTTTCAAAAAGTCAATAACTGGAATTTTTATCCAGTCCGATAATCTCTGTCTTTTAACTGAAATATTTGATCCTTTGCATTTAATGTAGTTATATACAGATGGGGGTAGGTCTATAAATTTATGTTCTCTATTTGTAGTATCTGTTGTAGATTTTTGTCCCCTTTCTTACCTTCTTTTGGATTGAGTATTTTAAAATCATTTCATTTTTTCTTCCAAATGTTGGGAGTTAAATACTTTGTTTCTATTCTTTAGCAGTTACCCTAAAAATCACAATGTGCATATATAACATTTCAACGTATAAAATTAATCAATATATTTATCCTCCTGCTGGCTATCAAATAGATCTTAGAAAACTTTAACTCAATTTATCCACACTCAGCTGATCGTTGTCTAATGTTTTATTTTTTTTTATTTTTTTATTTTTTATTTATTTATTTTTTTTTTTATTTTTTATTTTTATTTTTTTGAGACGGAGTCTCGCTCTGTCGCCCAGGCTGGAGTGCAGTGGCGCAATCTTGGCTCACTGCAAGCTCCGCCTCCCAGGTTCACGCCATTCTCCTACCTCAGCCTCCCGAGTAGCTGGGACTACAGGCGCCCGCCACTGCGCCCGGCTAATTTTTTTCTATTTTTTAGTAGAGACGGGGTTTCACCATGGTCTCGATCTCCTGACCTTGTGATCCACCCGCCTCGGCCTCCCAAAGTGCTGGGATTACAGGCGTGAGCCACCGCGCCCGGCCCGTTGTCTAATGTTTTAACTCTGAACTTTTTATTTAACACACACAGACATTTTTGTAACCACCTTATAGAGCCAAAAATCATTTCTATTTACCCATATTTTGCCACTTTCTTTGCTTTTCACTCTTAAATTCTCAGACCTTTCATCTAGGATTACTTTCCTTCTGCTTCTAGCAGAATCAAGATCTTTCAGTCAAGATCTGCAGGAGATTAAATGTCTCAGTTTTTGTCTGAAAAATGTCTTTAACCCTCAGTCTTTATTTTTTTTAATGTTTTCTCACTGACTTTTATGTCTATAATATTCAAAAATTCAAAATAAGCTGTCCAAATCGAACTGACCTTTAGAGGCATACAAATTCAAAATGTTTTACAACAGGTTTTTAAAAAAATATAGGTTCTGGCTGGACGCGGTGGCTGATGCCTATAATCCCAGCACTTTGGGAGGCTGAGGCTGGCGGATCACCTGAGGTCAGGAGTTTGACACCAGCCTGACCAGCATAGTGAAACCCTGTCTCTACTAAAAATACAAAAATTAGCCAGGCGTGGTGGCGCACACCTGGCCAAAAGCCTTTCTTAATTCTTTCTTCTCTTCCACAGGCTAGAGTCAGCTAGACCTGACTAAAGTCGGCTTCACATATACTCTGTGAACCAATGCTCCGCTGACGCTGTTTCCTTTATCCATCTGAATCTCTCATACCCAGACTGCCAAAGGAATCTTGCAATACACAGTATTGGTGAATAAATTCACCTTCAACAGAATTCTCAGGTTCTTTAGGAGGTTTTTCTTCAGAACTCTCAGTAAGTCTTCTTGTGTGGTGCTCAGAAAGCTTTGAAACACTTCTGCTAAGATTTATAATGATTGTTTAATACACAAACGATTGTAGTTATTCTTCATGGAAGCAGCATTGTACCAAGCGCCACGTGGATTATCTAATATGCAAAGGCGCTCTCCGTCCATATGTAGAAATGTCCTACACTTCCATCTGAAGCAAATCTCAAAAGGTTCAGCCTGATCATTTTAAGCAAAATCATTCATTGGGTGTTTCTGAAGACATGATGATGACGTTTCTACTGTTATTATAGATGATTCAAGGTCCTCTATACTCGATACAATAGTTCCACATTTTGCCCTTACCACCTCTCATATACTCAGAGATAGAGACTTTTAAAATATCATTCCAGGTCATACCTTTTTAATCTTCACGCTGCTTCCAACTTAACCAACTACTATCGGATATTCAGGAACTTCCACAATATGGTGATTTTCATACATGACAAGTTCTGGTAAGGCCAGGACAGAAGAAATGGCATACTCTGTCTGTGTTATGTTCACTGTATGTTATCAGTGGCATTGAGTTTTGGCTGGTATAAAATGTGATATCGCGGCCAGGCACGGTGGCTCATGCCTGTAATCCCAGCACTTCTGGGGCTGAGGCAGGTGGATCCCCTGAGGTCAGGAGTTCGAGACCAGCCTGGCCAATATGGTGAAACCCCATCTCTAGTGAAAATACCAAAATTACCTGGATGTGGTGGTGGGTGCCTGTAATCCCAGCTACTTGGGAGGCTGAGACAGGGGAATCACTTGAACCCAGGAGGCAGAGGTTGCAGTGAACCGAGGCTGCACCCTTGCACCCCAGCCTGGGCAACAAGAGCAAAACTCCATCTCAAAAAAAAAAAAAAAAAGTGATATCCCCAAACATATTTCCAGAAGGGAATTGCTGTGACCAGAATATGAAATTCCACCACCACAAATTCAGGGAATTTGAGCTGCGCCTCCATCTATGTCCCAAAATCCAGCCCCAGTGTAACGACCTGATAATGCAATCACTACCTCTTATTTTTATGAAAGTTGATGTGAAGAAATTATACGAGCTCTGGTTGAAACAGTTCTTGTTTGAACACAGTAGGCAGAGGTGCCAGATGTTTTTACTTTTTCCAAG